TTCAATCTGCAGTGGTTTGAACCTGCAGAGTTCCTGCTACCAGAGCCAATGGTATTTACTAAGCAGTCAAGGATACAGCTGTGAAGTAAACAAAGCCCTTGCCCTCATGCAGCTTATGCCAGACACTAGATGAGTAGATCAGGAAGTACACAAAATGTTTAGAATGAAACATCCGCATGCAATGATAAAAATGGGACAAAGGACTAAGTATCTAAATCAGGAGGTGTTACTTTCAGCACAGGTCAAAGGATGAGACGAAACTGGTCATGAGAAGAATATTCTAGGCAGAGAAGATAAGTTGGAAAGAGTTTAGCTTTTGGGGAACCCAGTGTATCCAGGAGCAGCAGAGTGAGTGGAGGAGAAGGAAATATGAACTAAGGTGAGAAACTGGGTATGTGTTGAGATCAAGTTTCTAAAACCAAAGTCTCTGAAAGAATATTATGAACAGAGCCCCCATCTCCACCAATAACTCACTGGTCATTAACCAACAACACAGACTTGTGTAGTGTAAAGCCACTGCTTGTTAAAGACTGTTTGTTACCAAGTATAATCTGCCCATCTTGACTGATACATAATATCAGTCAAGATATTAAAGAAACTCAATGACTGCCATGATGTTACAAGCTTCAGATATAAGAAAATGCATAGAGACCAGCAGGCAGTGTGGTGGTTAAGGCGCTGGACTCCCACATGGCTAATTGCGGTTTGAGTCTTGCAACTGGAAGCTCACTTTCTCACTTTCTCTCTGTCTGTCCGTCTATCTCTCTCACTCTCTCTGTCTGTCTCTGTCTCTCTCTGGTGAGTGCAAATTAAAAATAATAATGATGATTACAAAAGTGAAATCATTCTTTAAAAAAATGCATGATGTTATTAGGTCATTGGAAAAGTCATGACACATTTTGGCATAGAAAAATATAGAAAAAAATAACATAGATCCTGAACTTCAGCTGTGAAATATTGCTTTCAGAGACTTAAAATGAAGATTTTCTGTTGAGACTTCTTCCTCACTTATTTCTAGTGGCTAGTGTTGCCTGTCTCTTTCTCTCCATTTCTCTCTGTCTCTCTGTGTCTCCCTGAGTCTTTTAATTTAAAGAAATATTTTTTTTAAGGTAAAGTATTCTTTGGGCTCTCAAGCACCTTTATTGTGCTAATAGGTAACCTCTCCCCATTCTGTTTAGGAAAGGCACAAATCCAGGCCCATCTCCACAAGGATCATGAACTTCAGCTGTGAAATATTGCTTGCATGCCGCACGGTTTTCAATTTTTTGATTTTTAAAATTGAAATCTATAGTTTTTTATTATCCTTTTTCCTTTTTCTTTTATATTTTCTTCTTTCCCATTCTCTAATTATTTTCTTTTTCTCATTTCTTTACTCATTGGCTTCTTAGCTCCTACTCACTAAATGTTTAGACAGGTGCAAGTGAACAGGATCTCAATGTCTGAATACAGTTAGGGTCAGAATATTCCTCAATTCCTACTGATTCTGATGCACAAAGAGTGAGAATGGAATGGAAGAGAGATTGCAGATCACCTCCTCCTGCATGCCTCTGAACATTCAGACTGAACTTCAAGAATGAGAAGAAATGCAGCATCCATCAGATGACTAGATATCACCACAAGGTCACAAGAAATACAGAAAAACAAGAAAATATCTTTCCTCCAAGGAAAAATAATAACTCCTCTTCATCCTCAGATAGTATGATGAAATTCATGGAAATGTCAGACAAAGAATTTAAAATTTTCATGCTGACAAAGCTCACAGAAATTGAAAAGAGACAATGAACTGCTGAAGAGGCAGGGGAAAGGAGCTGACAAGCTGCAGGAGGTGAGGAAATTCTTGCAAGATCTAAAACAGAAAATTCACAATATAAAAATGAATCAAATGGACCTAAAAGAATCAAATGGAGCTGTTAGAGATGAAGGCTGTAATGCAGGAAATCAAAACCCCTCCTGAAGTTATTAAAAGTAGACTAGATCGTATGGAAGATTGAATCTCAGATGTAGAAGATAGAATAGCTGGCCTAGAAAAATCCACCACGAAGACTGAGAAAATTGCCCCCCCCCCCCCCAAAAAAAAAACTGAGAGTACTATACGAGATATACTAGATATACTAGATACCATCAAACTTCCAAACATCCAGATAGTTGGTATCCCAGAAGGGGAAGAGACTCAT